CCCCCGGGGACTACAACCCAGAACCCTCTGGTCCTGGTTCCCCCGGGACTCCAACCAGATGAACTTATACAGCATGCTGAAACAGCAGTTTTTGTCCTAAATACTGAACACTTCCTGGTGACGGATCAGAGAAACACACTTATTATACAGTCATTTATATACTTTTGCATGTTCTAATGTAACATCTCATGCAGACACGTGAAAGGATGAATGGATTGTTCCTCTGTCTGGTGTGTGTCAGTGAGTTCAGGCTCTCAGCAGAGGCCAGTGCAGACGGAGCATTGCGGATGGGCTTTGAGCTGCTGGTTGCCAGGTTGGAATGCTACCGCCTCCTGGAGGTCCTGACCAAAGACCATGTGGGGCCACAGGTAGGAGCAGGACTCTTTCATCCCTCCTTGTCTGGTGCTGTAGAGACAGTTCAGGTCACTTCTCGCTTCATGACTTTGAGATCTTCCGTTGCAGGAATGGTTGGAGCTTCTCCACAGAAGAGAACAGCCAACACAACTGTTGGAGAACACAGAAAAGAAGCCAACAAAAGCACCAAAGAAAGGCCCAGAGGAGGAAGAAGAGGAGGAGGAGGACAGGAATAAGGTAGGAGGGCTTTCAACTCTGACAAATGTCAAAGAAAAGGGGATTTTCCCATCTGCACCTCCTGCCGATGACTCAGTTTATCAGAAATCTTTCTGTTCTGAGATCTGCAAACAGATTTCATGGCTGCACAACATGAGACTGAACACACAGTGTTTTAACGGTGTTTCAGCCCTTTCCAAAGCCACACATGTGAGTAGTAAGTTGATATAGACCAGGGGACTCAAACTCCAGTCCTCTGTGGCCTCTGTCCTGCAGGTTTTAGAGGTCTTCCTGTTTCAACAGTCAGGCTCCTGGTGGCTTACATGCCTCTCTCTCTTTTCTCCAGGTCCCGCACTGCTTGGAAACCAAACTCGTCCCGGGCTCCCACCCAAAGCCTGGAGGCCCTGTGGACCAGTCCATAATGGAGATGCAGAGGACCTACCCGGACCTGGCCTTCAGGGGCCGGCCCCTGCTGGCAGATCCAGATCCAGACCCAGATCCAGACCCAGACCAGGACCCAGACCAGGACCCAGACCAGGACCCAGACCAGGACCCAGACCAGGACCCAGAAAGAGTCGATGAAGGCCTGAGTGGGCCTCAGGCCTTTTCCCTTCATCTCACTCTGAAGGCTGGGACCAAGGCAGAACTCAGCCTGAAGGGTGGGAGGCCTGGACCCAACATGGAGACACCATCTGGTAGGTAGGGATGGGGATCGAAACCCGGTTCTATCAAGGACCCGGTTCCACTTTTTTCTAAACCCGAAAATCAATACCGTTTGGGCTTATCGATACCACTATGGAGTCTGGTGTTTTTTTTTATTATTACAATAGTAATTGTGGAATCCGTGTTGTAATCGGCAGCATACAAGCTAGTTAGCTTGAAAAGTAAATAAAGTTTCAGACGTGTGTTCAGATTGGCTCAGTAAAACCACAATTAGGTTATCATGATGCGTTCGAGTGTAACGTTAAGAAAAGGGAAATTGAGTTTTTGGCGAGAAACATGAGTAATACAGTTGTATATTGCTCTAATTATTTTAGAATATATAATTAAACTACTGATGCCAACATTTATTAAAAATTACATTTAATTTAAAATACAATTATTTATTTGCTAAATATTGTCGCAT